TGTGTGTTGTGTGATGATGAGTTCGAGAAACAGAGATTACGAAGATCACACGGTTGGCATTGGCTTTTGAACACTCAGACTTGGCAGCACGTACCATTTTCATGCCCTCTAAGCCCAACTCACTTCATTTATATCAGTCATTACCTAACAAAAATGAGGGATATTCTTCTGATTCTGCTTTATACTCTTATTACAACGATTTTTCTTTTTAAAAAATACACAAACAAACTACTACTTGAATAGTTTGTATCTTGTATTTTTTTGTCATATTGCAATTATAAATTTTCAATGAAAAACTAAATAGGCTAATTTTTAAACATTAACAGCCTATTTGTCCTTGATGAATCATGAAAAATTAATTGGTTGTGTTTTCTTAATTTATATATTTAAGAATTTCAAGACCATTTTTAATTACCCGGAAAGAGGAAAAGATAAGTACAACACATACAATAGAGAATATACTTGGAATCTGTATAGCATATAACTATTAAGCAATATCACCTAATAATATTAAAATTTTAATTTATTGATGGCTTAAATTTTTATATTATTATTTCGTTATGCTTTGGAACATGAGTTTGACTTTCTGAGTCTCATATATTATTCAGATATTTTTAAATTCAAGAAAAAGTAAAACTATAAATTGAAATAAAAGTATTACAGAAAAATATTAAAATAGTAAAATATGGAGTTCTGTAGAAATTTAAAGCATATATGAAAATATAAAAAATATTTAAATTAATTTATTAGCCCCTATAGTTTCTTTATATTTTTAATTAACTTGTCAAACTTTAAATACTTTTAATTAAATTTTTATAAAAATATTTAATTAAATCATTAACAATAATATCATTATATTTTTATTAAAAATTAATGATATGAAATTTCTTATTTATTAATCTATTTTTTATAATTATTTTTATAAGTATTTTTCTCTAAATTTTTAAATTCTATTATTGCTAAGCGATAAATCCAACACTAATTTACGGACATATTTTTTAAACTGTATTAATGTTGACATATTCAATATATAACTAAAATGTGATAAGCTAGAAAGTACTAGAAAAAAAAAAAGTTTTGAATCACTCGTAAAATCTTAAAATTACTATTAAAAAGGATTAAATTTGGAGTCTACCCTTTTTCACCATAAATTCAAGTTTTTAGATAAACTCTATGTAAATATTTTATTAAAACAAATCAGTAAAATATCAGAAAATTTTTTACTTGAAACTTGTGGCTGTTAGCCTAAAGAATCCAAATGTGATAACAATAATTCAATATTAAAAATATCATCCAATAATAATATGACTTAGAGATTTTTTTTAAAAAAATCTTATAAATTTAACGTATATATATATATATATATATATATATATATATATATATATATATACATTCACTTGATGGGTAAGCATTTTTCATTGTGACTGTAAAATTTTTTTGTTATATTATGGATTATTTTCTTTGCATCAAAATGTTTGGACTCCATATGTATGACCACTTTTCAATATAATAATCAGGAGAATATTTTTATTAATTAATAATATAGCTGTTTCGAATAAAGAAATCATATATGAATGTCCACTAGCAAGGGGCCAAAAGAACTCCGGCTGAAATGAATAAGAGAACTAAATATAAAGTACCTGGTGTTTGGAGATTATGATTGTAAGAGCATATCAAAAAGCTCAATTACCTATAGCCAGATGGAGGCGCCAAAACTGTTATCTGAGTGTTCCATCAATATCATTAAATCAAGACAAATGGCAATGTTAGAACTTAACTCTTTATCTTTATTAATATATGAATATCTCTCTGTGTGTGTGAGAGAGAGAGACTAAGGTACCTTGCAAGAAACAGAAGTACAGATGCATTGAAGTTGTGTTTGTTTTTAATTAGTTAACGTAGTGAATGTTTAGTTTTATTTATTTTAAATAAACAATATGTTCGAATGCCTCATCATCTAGACATACTTGTAACTATCAGATTAATTTTTCATCAATTGTTTACGAAGTTTAATTGTATTTTAATCCTTCAATATGTATGTGTGTAAGTGTCAAATAATTTCCTATTTATGGGTACTGTACTGTGTCTCTTTAGCAAGGAAAAGATAATACTTTGTTCCACAGACACGCCTACCCTTTCTACTTGCCAAAGGCTTCAAGTAATGTGCATAGTTTCTCAGCAAAAAAACATTTGTGTATATTAGCCTTTAATTTTAACAAATTTAATTTAAAATTATTAAAAGTATTGAGATATGTATCAAAATTAATTTTAACTATAATTTGTTATTAAAATATATATTTTAATTACAATTTTGAATTTATATATGATTGGTCCATTGTGAAACTCTAGATCTTTCAATGTATTTGGTGTAGCTAACCGACGTGTTATGACTCAATAGCATTTAGAAAAGTGCTTACTCAGGCTTTTGAAAATAAGAAAATTTCCATTTGTGAAATAAACGCTGCTAAAAAAAAAGCATTAAAATGATTTAGTAATGTTAGAGATTAAACTAAAAAAAAATGTTTGAGATTAAATTATAATTCCGTTACCCTTTAGTGACAGCAATTTTGTCGTTTTTCTAATTAAATGATCACTAATAACTCAGTTTTCTGCGTATGAATCTTGTCAAGTGAGTGAAGTTGCTGGTACAACTTACAATTACTTCTATAATTTTCCATAGCCTCATCAAATCACAATAGCAACGCATTTAACTCTATTTATTACCGAATTAAGGAAAATAAAAATGAAAAAGAAAGAAACTCTATTTTCAAGAGTTTAATAATGAATCCTACCTAGCAACATATAATCAGCCACATAACTATATATAACAAGAAGTGATAGGCATATACAATATTTGCATTTATTTTCTTTATTAAAAATACGATTTCATGATTTGGTTAATTTGCTGTTGATTAATTGGTGCGAGTCAAGAGGGCGAAAACGAAAAGGAACACATAAAATGTAATGTAAGCATACAATAAAAAGCAAAGATAAGAACAGTGATAAAGAGATCCAAACACATGCAAGTGGTAAAAAGCTGCACAATTTGTTCCTCTGTAACGCGGATTACTTACGTATATCATAGCTGTCGTTAATTTATACAAGTATTGGCATGTGGGGTTCAATATTCCAACCACACTGATTTCGTGTAACAATTACCTAACCCCAATTTCAAACAAAATTTCATTTTCTAGCTAAATCTAGCTGTACTTTATACAAATGTTCCAAACGATTTGCATAAATCATTATCGCTGGTTGCATCATTTTCAGTCGCTAAAGATTTTCATTAATTATAAAGTGTTTAAATTTGTATTTAAATGCTTATAAATTTACGTTATTAATAATAATATTTAACCTTTGTAGATTTTTTAATATATTTTTAAATGTATATGGCATTTTTATTAGATGTAAAAGAATATATAACTTGTAATATAGTGTCATGTGTATATCATGTATTAATCAACTAACCTACGTAGCATACGCTCCAAAAGAAATTTAGGCTTCTGTGTGCTTAATAGGTTAGAGCATGTATATAAACAGCAAGATCTGACTTTGGTGGGTTAATATATATTGTGTATCTGTATATAAAAGAACAACAAATTATTTGCTCATTTCATTGCATATATCTGGTACAGTCCTCTTTAAAACAAGTGATTGACTTTGTTGATTTTAGCCATTTTAATGTGTATATAGAGACTTGAGTTGTCTTGTAGTATATGGAGATCATGTTCTTAACTGGTAAATCTGCAGAAATGACCGGCGGTGTTGGTGGCTTGATTTGAAGATGAAAGAACAATTTAACTATGATGCTATTGTACTCTATATAATATAATAATATCTGTAGCCAGATAAGGATGAATACTGCTTGAATAAATTAATCAGTCACAATATATGTTATGAAAAATAAATTCACAATAATTTAGGATGTAATGATATTTTTAGGAGACCACATCTATACAGATATATGCATCATATTGGATATCTGAGAAATTAGTTATAGTATTTGTTTTTAATATGTTTAATACCACATGCTTTTCACTAGACTCTTATCGTGGATAATCTTTAGATTGTGCTTAAACTTAGCAATGCTAAGATTATACACCACGTAATATAATAATAATAATGACATTTAATTAAACATCATTTTGGTATTAACTACATCATAAGTACATCATTTTCATTTTAACAATAAGACAAAAGAAGTATGCATTCCAAATAATTTCCTGATCCTTTCTCTTCCCAATAAAAGTGTGAATTTCATTTTGCTAATAGCAAAACACGTGTTGATGTAACAATTAATTATTTTCTTTTTTTTTCCAAAACTTTTGCCTTAAATATGCAATAACCTTTTTCCTCCCTCAAAACAGTTATCTGACAAAGTTTGGGAAATAGTATTCATATCTTCATTCTTGGCCCACTCTCTGTCACATTAGATTAAACTAATAGCTTATTGCCTTATTGAGAGACGATAATTCTAAAAATAAAGAAGAAAACAAATTTTTTTTATCTAGATAACAAGTAATCAGATATTTAAATTAAAAATCAACAATTTGCATCTATGTGGATGCTATGGTCATTTCAGGGAAGGTAATTAAGAAAAACTGTGTCCACACCCACTTTCCTCTCTCAAGGTATGATACAAATATAAAATATGCACATACATAGCAATTAAAATTTCTCTCTAGTATAATAATCAAAAGTGGGAAATCAGGGGACCATTGAGTTCTGATTACTTTATTGACTCTCTCTTTGCATTTGTCAGACCAGGATTCATCTAATCCTTGCTCCCAACAGACAGCTTGATATTATTATTATTCCCTTTCCAAAATTTCCCTTTTTTATTTGTTCCTTTGTCCTTTTAAACTATCCCTCCTTTTGCATATTCATGCCCTATGCTCCTTATAAATATGATTCCCTTTCTTCTCTCTTCCTAACAATCACACAAATTAACTACCCCGCTTTCTTCCTTACTTTTTTATGTTCTAATTTGATTTGCCATGGAAAACATGAAGCTCAGAAAACACACTCACACATTCATAGCCAATTCACACACAGCTTCCCTAGCCATGCACAAAGATTCTCACATAGTGTCCAAAAGCAAGCCCAAGATACGCATAATTCACATATTTGCACCCGAGATAATTAAGACCGATGTTGAGAACTTCAGGGAGCTTGTGCAAAAGTTAACTGGGAAACCAAGTGGAGAAACCAAGTGTTGCAAGAAAAAGAAGACCAGGGTCATAGCAAAAAGAGAGCAAGAATCAAGGAGTAGCAGTAGTAGTGGTAGTGGCGTTTCAGAGGATCACACCAAAAAGATTGAGATGAGGAATAATATTTGTGGTGGGTTTTGGGGATTGGATGTGACAAGGGAAAGAGTCAAAGAAGAAGAGGTAGGAGTTTGTTGTAGTGATGCAAGTTCTGGTGGGTATTTGGGAGGCTTCTCGGATTTGGAAGGGTTCATTTCTGAGATTAATGGTGGATTTCCTTTGCTTCCTTTAGATGGTAATCATTTGATGCAAGGGTTTGAAGAATCTCAACTTTTATAGGATATATAGATATGTATGCTAGATCATATAGATATATATATATATGTTCCTTCATTTGGAAGTTCATATATATAGTTTCTTGTGTTTGATTATGAGATGTTTTGGCTTTCTTACGATATATAGAATAGCTGACTTGTGAATTTCATATCCATCTCCTTTTACAATTTTTCTCTATTTTTTTTAGTACACAAGTTGTTCACTTCTGCGGAGAGATCAGAAAAATCAAGCACATTCAAGCCTAATTAATTGATTAATATGGGTATACACTGATTGATTCTATTTCAGAGGAATAAGAATATTAACGAGTGAAATTGCGATTTTGTTCACTTTGTGCTTTAATTGTAAGGATCGGAGCCAGGGTTCTCAGGCCATGAATGCCATCGGCATGCACATACACCACACTTGATATATCCTCTAATTCATTGAATAAAGTTTAATATTGAGTTTGTTTATCTTTCTTTTGAAAGTAGTGGTGTTTTTATCTTGTATACTTGACTCTCTTTCACTCTCTCTCTCTCTCTCTGTGTGTGTGTGTGTGTAAATATTACACAGAATTAAATGCTTTTGGCTTATTTGGCAAGCAAAACATTTGGTATTCGTTTTTTGGGGAGTTTATTATTATTTTAAAGTGTTTATAGTCACTTTACTTTAAATAATTAACAATAAGAATATTAGAATAAAAATATTAAATAAAAATTAAGATTAACAATAAATATATAAAAACAGTAATAGGCACTCTCATGTTTATTACTTTCCTTGCAAGAATAATGATATTTAAGGTCCAGATGCATGGTTTTCTTTGTATTATTATTTCTCACTATTTATATATTGGCACATGCAAATAATTTAAAGAAAAAAAAAGGAATGATATTTTCACTTTAAAAACATGAAATTATGTTTACACTTAACTTGTTTTGGGGGAAAGAAGTAAAAGGTTGCACGTTGGAATGATTATATATATATATATATATATATATATATATATATATATATATATATATATATGTTATTTTATTATCTAAAAAGATAATATAAGAATGATGTAAAGTTTTTCCTGCAAATATGATTTGTAAATAAATTACCAGACACACATTTCTGGTAAGCTAGCTAATCCAGCTTAGTAAGCTTTCTCTAATCTTAACGCATCCATATCCAATTGTAGCCAAGTGGGAATACTCTATTAGAATTTCGAAACACCAACTAGGGTTTTAAAAATTAAAAGGAGTACATATGGCTGAATCACATCACATCGACCATATAGGGCTTTGTTTTCATTAAAAAGTATTTCTTAATAAACACACTGGGAGAACATTGAATTTGATTTTTCTAAGATGAAAAGTATAAAATAAAAAATATATAAAGACATATTTATTTTTAATTTAAAGTGAGTTAAATTTATGAAATATTTAAATTTCAAAATAAAAGATACAATCTTACTTCTTAATTCTATTCAAGTTTAAAGATATTACATTTTGCTCAGGGAAAAATTAAAGTGATGGTTTTAGATTGATACCCTGTCGTTATCTAGATCAAAGTCCTTGGATTAAACTCCATTAATAATTGAAGTTATAACTGAAGGAAATCAAAAGGTATTTTCGCTGCCTTCCACTTAATAAAATAAACCCAGTTATTTTCTTGCCAAGAATCTTCAAGATTAATTATATATTCATTTAATTGTTTTTGTTTGCTTCAGACATATGTGTGTGCCTTGATTAGCCCCTTTTTTTTAATTCTTTTGCTATCCTCTATTCAATATCTACTTTTTTTATTCTATAACTACTTCTTTCATTTAAACACATTTTTTAGAATGTCGTTATTTAATTAAATTTTATTATTGTAAATCATTAAGCCAAAGTCATCAATGCGTGCATGGTTAAATAAAAGTTTAAAAAGACTTACTTTTACAAAAGCAATAAAAATATTTGTAAAAAATATTTCTTTTCAAATTAAGTGAATTTCAACAAGCTAGTTTATTGATGTTTTTCCCAAATCAATATAGGTGAAGATGAGTGAATGAAGTGAACCAAACTATATCTGTTGTTGAGACTCGAGCACTCGTTGGTGTACCTATAACAATAACACCCTTCAACACTCAAATAAGCAACTCAAAGGAGAAAGTTTTGAATCTAGATTTGGATAATCATACTAGGAAGGTATGTATCTTCTTATGTAATATTGTGTCATGATTAGGAGAATGGTACGCAATTCCTGTAAATGTAGACAACCAGAAAAGTCACATTTCTTTGTGAGATAAGGAAAGTGAAGTAAGAAAGTTTTATTCTTACGAGATAAAATTAATGTAACTTGCATTTGGCAAAGTATCTCAGGATAACACACCCAAGTTGGTTTGTTAGGTTAAAATATTTACAACCATGGAGGAGATACATTGATTTAGAGAAACAGTTTAGAACAATTAGGCATATTACTAATTTTAAACAGGACGTAAACATGCTTTTAATCACTTCTAATATAATATTATTTAATTTATTCCTTCAATTTTTTTTATTTTATTCTTTGTAAATATTAATCTATGTAGTCGCTCTCATCGCCACTTAACAGTTATGTGTCATGTATTTAATCATATTACGTTTATAATTATTTTAAAATAATATTTAACGTGGCATGTCATTTTTATGTAACAATAAAAATTAAAAATAAAATAAAATTTAAAAGTAACACAAATATATTTATACAAATTAAAAATATATTTCACATTTTGAACAGTAGCAAAGCTAAAAAATTGAGAAAATGAAATAAAATTAAAGACAGTAAAATTTAAACAACAACTTAATGATATTAGGAAAAAAAAATTAAAACTAAGTACAGATATATGCCATTGTGTTATGTGGTTCCATCCTTGCCTTTAATTATAGTTTATTATAATTGTTTAAACTCAGAGTAAATTTAATATTTTCCTTAAAAAAAAGACAAACCCTAGTTAACCAGTGTCTTAAAAATACTAATTAAAAAATAAAAAAATTATCATAAAACACTATTATTATACTTTCTTCATATACTTTTCAATGTATTTCAAAATAAGTTTAAATAAAAAAATTATTTTTCATTTTTAATCAGTGCCTTTGTTAGTAAGACTAAAAAATTATTAATGATAGACTAATTTAAAGTTCTCTAACCTTGACTTTGATTAAAAGACATAACTAGTTAACTAAGTATCCGATTCATGATTTGAACACTTGATCTAATTTTAACAATAATGATATATTACAACTCCACACTGTTCTGGGTTCAAATGCCGGTGAGAGAAATGATAATAATAATAATAATAATATGTTGAAGGCAATATGGTGTTTATTATTGGAGAAAAAGATAAACGCTATTAAAAAAATGGATTGACTTATAATCAGCTGCATGAAGTCAATAGGTTTGGTGATCTTTAATTCTTTATTGTCAATTGCACAATTAATTTACAGGGTCTCTTGTACTATTTAGATTAAGTTCGAAAGTGTTACATAATTAAAATTAATGGCAGATGACATATGGGATTTTTCTATTAAAAGTCTTTGTTTTCTTAATTATAATCAACTCGTAATCTAGTTCTCCAAATATTTTTAAAAAATTCAATTTAGTTTACAAAAAATTAGTGATATTAAATTAGTGCTCAAATAATATTTTTTATCATCAAATATTTACAATTTATTTTCAGTAAATATTAACTTTGGAACTATTTTTCTCTAAGAAACTATATTGATGACTAAATTAATGCAACAATCCTTACTAAATTAACGTTCCAAAAAAGCTTTCAATAACCATAACCGAGTTTTTACTATTTACCATAAGATTTATAAAGACTAGAAGTTTTGTTTTTTATTTTGTAGAAAAGACTAAAGTCTAAATTGATTGCTGAAACCAGTGTTATATTCTTTAGCGAATTTTAAGGAGTGTTTCCAAAACATTTCTTAAGCACGACCAAAATAAACAATTTTTTTACGTTAAATATTTCTTAAGGATTTAGAAAAAAGAAAATGATACATTTAAATTTATTCTCATTAAATACTTCCAATCTCTTAATTAGTATAAGCTTTACGTTATCTAGCTATACTTGTATTTTTAAATGTTGCATCGATTGAGAACTCTTGAGAGTTGGTTGAGACTTGACTTGAACTTAAGGGCAACTTGTATGGTTCAAAGGTAAATGATGAGACAGATCATTAAGAAGACATAACAATTTATTTAATTTTTGTCAAACGTGGTGTCACTATTTCAAATATGTTCACATTGAACAAAATATGAATGCAGAATGGCTCTCCCTCTACCCCATTAAACTATGAAGTGGTAGAACAACTTGTCACCTAGTGACAGGGAACTTAATATTAGCATAACACATTAATAGAATTGATTTGGTTTGGTTTAAAGTGTATGTTATTGGAAAACATTTTAAAAAATCTCTAAACATAAACCTAACACAAAAGTTATAATTATTAACTATAAAATAAGCATAATTAGATGCATTCTAACGTAAAATTAAACTCGTTAAAAGTTTTTTGATGAAATAGATTAAAATTGATTTTGATGAAATTGTTGGGTTGATGGAGTATTTAAGTAGGAAGCCTTACAATGAATAGGATATCACAATACAATTCTAAAATCTTAAGGCAAAGGATACATAGATACATCTCTTTGTAAACTCTCAACTTAGTCATATCTCATTCCATATAGGACTCAATTTACACTTAATTCTAACAGAAATTAATTGAGTTGTTGAATATAATTAAGAAATGTACATAAATTAATCTTGTCTATTTATTTTTTTATTGAAACGTGTATTTTTTTGGTTAGAAAGTACAAGAATTGATTTTTCAACCTGCATACAAACAAACCTGAAGAGCACAGTTCCATCTACGCCTATCCTGGAGCATGTTCATATTGCCAATACACACCCAGTATTTAATATTTTATGACATTTATTTATGGCATATGTGAAACCTACAATAAAGAAATTTCTTAACCATCGAATATGTAGATTAGCTAGCAAATGATGTTCTAACTTAACTAGAGATTTCGAATTCTCAAGTTTTCTGAGTGCAAAACTACATTAAAATTTGACAGGAAAAGTTTTGCAATCTTTAATTGTCTTGCTTGAACTATAGAAAGGGAAAAGAAATTATGTATCTTTATCAGAACTATACAAAAATTATTTATTTAAATAAAATTGGTAGATATGCTCTTAATTCGAATTCGAATATGGTGAGCCAAATTCAAAAGAAAAAATCATAAGAATATCATACATATTGTTTCAACCATTATTACCGTGTCTGCATGAATGATTTTTCTACTGCCTATTCGATTTTTCAACTTACAACGTAACCTTCTCACCTTCTTTTCTTCTAAAGAGGGATAGAGGGAGTGACGGTCTTGTTTGGAAGTCAAATTGGCATCGTATGGAAGATTTGAAATTGATAATATTTTTTGTACCCACTTCTTTGGGGGGAAAAACTCTGATTTTTTTTTCCAAAAATAAATAGTCTTTGCTTTCACACATTTTCACATCTTAGTACGTGACTGAAGACCACAAGAAACATACATGAGTACTTGACTTTTACCTCCACTAATGTTCTGGTCTCAGATTTTTTTATAACTACAAAACTGTTGCATTGCATATCCCCTAGGAATTGGTTCCTTTTAGATTTGTATACCATTCATTGTTGATTCAGATGAGCATTTCATACGGCAGACATATCTAGTGCAGCTCATGATATATTTAAATAAAGTTAAACCAAATAAATGTCAATTCAAAATTGTAAAAAAAAAATAAATTGGGGACCAAAAATTTTATAATTCTGTTTCTATAAACATTGCCATTGACACAATTGGTTGTCAGCAAGAAAAAGTTTAAAACCAAAACAAAAATAAAGGCCAAAGAATTTCTGTATGGATCACAAACACATTTATTAGTTTTTATTTCACTATTGGTTGTTGTATGAGTAACATTACTCAATTTTTACATTAAAGAACCACTTTGTTGGGAAACTAAGAATCAAATACAAGGTTTTGTAAGATGTCGTTTCAGCTTCAAACCGACATTTCTATATTCACATTCTACCCTGTGTTGAACCAAAAGGAGTTTTCAGTGAGAAAGAAAAAGAAGCTGTCCACGGGCACCAAAGAGCTTTTGAGGTGAAAAGGAATTTGACTCATCACCATGAGTGAGGAGGAACAAAATTTCACTTCCCATTTATACAATTCCTTAGCTTTCATACTCTGGACTTGAATCTCCCAAGGAAGATGGTGCTGCTTCCAGCCTCGTTAAAACTTCAGGCATCCCAGCTGTGTTCCTTATTATCTGCATCAAAACCACCATAGACATTTAGATATAACCGCAAATTTGATTTAATTATAGCTAAAAATGGCATTACATACTTTACATTATCCTGCCAGGTAAAGTCAGCTGCATAGATTATATGATGCCAATGGACTCACTCAAAACCAAACATCCAAAGAAATTATTTATCATGAAATCCGATTAAACTAAAAATAACAAAGAAAGGAAATACTGATTTACATCCGTTCCTATTGCTATAATTTAGAAACATCCATCCAAATATAAAATTAAGAAGCATCAACATGAATTATCTATGTTCACAAGTTTAGTAAGTGACAGTACATATATGAAGCAGCAAAAACTAATGCAAATAATATATCATTTGATAATGATATAGGTCCAGTTTAAGAAGATTACTTGAGAACTCATTATAAGATAAGAAAATCATAATAAAAGATAAATATCATTTTTCTCGTAAGTTAGAAACAATTTATCTCCTCAAATTATCAAAAAATTAAATGAGAAAGTTTCTATATATAAAAAAAAAAAAGCATAAGTTGATTTTAACTTATGAAAGAAATTTGATTCATTTTATTGCTTAATTTTTTACTCCTAAAAGTACTTGTTGAGAAGTTTATCCAAATTAGACCATAATCACATATTATTCAGGCAATCAGGCCTTCCCTTCAAGGCTGAACACCCGCTGAGCTGCATTTGAATCTCAGCTTTAATCATCCAAAAAGTTTTAAGTGAGGAAAAGTAACCCTACCAGATTGTGAAGATGATACAATAGATGTCAGAAGCTCCTCAAGTGGCATCGAACAATTTAGTAAGACTATGAGTAAGAACGAATTACTTTCTCCTTTTTTCTGGTGATTTAGGATTATTACTTTTCATGCAAAAGGATACGGCACACTGGAAACCATTGTCATAACCCAGTATGACCATAGGTTTAAAAATATTTCTTATTCTTTACCACATTATAAGAATATATGTCACTACATTCCAATTGGAAAATACAAGTGATACTAAATAGAATAATTAGTTAGAGAGTAAGTTAGCTGGATGTCATCTACAAGTGTACACATGTATCAAACTTATCTAAAATCAACTCATGTGAGTATATTCAAAACTTACAAGTATTTCCTCATCAAGATAAGAAATCATGAAGAGTCTTTGAAAGCTGCCACCTACATTACACAACATAAAGGTTAATGTGGTTTTCACAATGGAATTTACATAAGAGCAGATTGAATATACATTTTTCCACACACATTAATAACTTAATTGCATAATTTCTGGTATATCCTATCTTTCTTGCATATATATTTTGTGACAGTGAACAGATAAGACATTTATCATTACTGCTAAATGTCAAGCAATAGCTGCAGAAAAACGGATTAAGTGGCATAACTCGATGTTTAATATCTGTAATTATAGAAACATACATAAACTTCAGGTATTTCCCAACCTATTGCTTCTACAGATTCCAGGTTCAGTGTATACCACTAGCAGTGCACAGTGAAATGAAACCAAGCTTCAACAGATTGTGTATATCTAGCAGAACACCTATGTCAGAGGACTTGTTCAGTCAGAGGAGTGTATAAAAATTGGGGTTGCTTACTTAGAGGAACTTTCAGCCCACTGGCAACAGGATCACGTATAGGGGCAGGAAGTTGTTGTAAAGCATTATTCGCCTGCCCAAGTGCACCTTTAAGCTGTTCTGGTACTCTCTCTTCAATAATTGTTGGCGACACAAGAACCCCTTCAACATACTCCTCTTTCATTCTAAGTGGCCCCTCCACGGATAACTTGGTTGAGAGAATAACTTTGCTTTCTATCTACATTTGATCACAAAGAAAACAGTCAATTAAACTAATGGAAGGAATTAAGCATGACCATTTCTCCAATTTCCTCATTGTTCTCACTCTTTACTAGTTTCCCACTTCCAATAAACAAACAAATTTATCATCTAAATTTTTATGGACAGACCTTTACTCCATGCCCCCACTCTCTTAAGTATAAAAACTGCAATAAAATGCATCAAATCCAATCATATTTTTTTTTCCAAATCAATTGCTGCTCGGCTCGCATCAGTTATGGATCTCTTGGCAATATGTCATTAGAGAAATGATAGAAAACATCACAAAGAAGCTGTGGTTGAGAGATACATATGCAAATGACCTCTAAACCAGTGATTTTCACTTAAGTGATTGTTTCAGGAATTTTCGAGAGACATCACTGTGGTTTTCAGGGAGGTGTAATGTTTCCTTCACCATCTTACATAAGGTACCATTATTATGTCCCTTTTGCTGCTGAAACATAGTATTTCCTAGCCATATCTATTATAGTCAATGTGGGGCTTTAACATAACCCCCTCACGCATTTAAGCACTGAAAAATTTTGTGGGGCCAGATTTTTTATTTTTTTTTTAGTTTAGGCTTTAAACTTAACTCAACCTCAAAAGTTAGGTTATACGGTGAAAATTGTTTTAGCCTTTATAAGTTTTTATTTAGCTATATCTATAGTCAATGTGAAACTTCAACAATTACCATGCCACTATCACACAGGGGCAGACCTACATTAGCTCCAAATGTGAACCCCCAATTTTTAGATTTTCTTTATTTGACATGCAACCTTTTTATATGTAAGACAAAAAGCTTTATCAAAAGATTCAAAACTTAATTTTACAATCTCATTTGACACATCTTCCACTACATGTAGGCTATTCCTTTTATAGGAAAAAAGCTTACAATACAATAATAAAATAAAGAAACTTATGTCAAGAGAAAAACTTAAGCAAGCATTATAGTACTCAAATTTTTACTTCAAATAGTAATTTTTTAGTTCAAATCACATGAGAATATAATTTTTTTACATATACATGTACTGTAGTATGGTTTGAAGGCTTTTTTTAGTTGCCAAGACTGTAGTGGTCAAATCATGTAGGATAATGCAGCTATTTCCACACCTAACCGCCCCCCCCCTCAAAAAAATCCCTGGCCAAACTCACCCCATTTTTGCCCGACCCACTCTCTTTCTGGCCAAGCTCACCTCCTAATCTGTTTTTCAGTTCAAAAAACAGAGTGGAGACAACAGGATCTTTCTTAATTGCTGCAACTCAGCTACAAAAGATACGAGATAACTTTGTTTTCCTGTGGTCTAGTGTGTTTTTCACACTTCTTAGTTCCTCACGCTCCATTAATTTTTCTATCACACGCCTTTGTTTTTTCCTGTAAATTCCATCATCTTTCTATTTTTCCTTTTACGTAATTCCTATGTTCTCATTTCTCAGATTGTTAATTTATTAGCTTAAATTAGTGATCATACAAGTTAGAATATGAATTTTGATGATTAAATATGATATCTCTGTATGTTTTGATAATTTTTTATTCTTAAGCATTTAGATGTGTAGAGTATAAATTATAAATTATATATCTTGTATCTATAATTTTCTGTAATTTGCCACTATAACAGTTTTGATGATAGCCGCACTGTGCCTCTAAATGATATTAATAGCAGTGGTACATATTAACCGGCTACTGTTTATCCACAAGCATCAGTAGATGAAATGCATGATTGTTATCACCAGGTTGCATAATTAGACAACCACGCTAAGTTATAGAAAAATTTGATTTCACTGCCCAAAATAAAGAAGTAATCTAAATTGGCAAATCTCATGCAAAAAAATATACTTAAACCCATTTAAATGGAATGACAGAAGTAATCCCCATGAAAATCAGCATTAGAGATGTAATAAAATCATCCATGCATCTTCACCAACAATTTAAACCTTTAGGACAGTTGCTTCATAACATAGTATAAGAGCCCCTCTCACCAAGTGGTCTAGAGTTCAATCCTTGCTCTACATTTTTCTAATAAAAGTTAAATTTCAGCATAGGTATATGGGCCTATGTATCGTCCACACTTCATGCCCAATGGTATCTTATGTGAGGGAGCATGTTAGGAATGTAATATAAAACCACTCATGTGTCTACACTCTTCACCTAGCAGCTTAGATAGTTGGTTCTAACAATTCAAAAGGACGAAAGGCTTAAATTAAATACACAAATTACAAAAGAAACTTGCAATGCTTCATGAAAGCTAAATTCAGATTTGTATATGCTTCAGAAAATTGCAGACTCAGAAATATACCGAGTTTAATAATCTCATGTTTGCAGTAATCTTTGCATTCCCATCCTTAATAAAGGCATCCATTTTTGACAAATTAGCCAAACTTGAAGGAAAGATTCTGCATATATATAAAGCACACAAGAATATTGTTACTCACCAATGAGATCAATCCAAATTTAATTGCAGATGTACAAAGACTTTAAGTTCCTAAATTCAAAGTAAAAAATCTGAAGTCCTAAGAGAAAACTCAAGGAATGACGAGATAGAAGCATATCTTCAAAGAGTGAGAACTCACTCAAATATAAACCTAGCAGCAAATAAACCAGGACTTCCAGAACCAAACCACTCAAAGTTCCATCGCCCTTCCAGGAAGGGTGACCTGTAGCATTAAAAGGCATTAACAATTTAACATCACATACAGAAGCATAAAACATGGATGTTCTCAGTCACTTACGTTGTGGGGCGAGGTGATGGATTCAGCCTCTCAAGACCAGTTATCCTTTCATTCACATCAATCTTTTGCCATTCAGTAGTCTTCCCAGAGACCAAGGCCTCAAAACCACCTGCATCTTTAAACTGAAAGGATTTCACCAGAGTAAGAACATTTGAGTCCAAACTAGATAATCTTCAAAAACAATATTAGAAAACCACTCCTTTTGGTATTTAAGGAAATCCTATGATCATTTCATTGCCTGATTTCTTTTTCTTTCAAGGAGGGAAGGGAACAGGTTCATCACTCATCAGCAGATACAGCCCACTGAACCTATTTTTGCTACCTCTTTGGACACGAACATCAAGTATCAAACAGCAAAATAAGAAGGAAAAACAAAAATCCACTAGTCCACATTAGAAAAGCACCAAAACACTCCCCTTTTCTCGCACAAGTAATTGCCAAACAAATATAAACTACAAAAGCAATTTTTTGGGAATCAAAATGAGATGAATGAATATAGTCATCAAACCTAAGCCCAAATCCCAACAAACATTTTAAATTTAGACTTGAGCCTACCTCAACCCAAAAAGCTAGTTCCTAAGGTCAGAATTACATTAACCTTTATAAGCTATACTTTTGCCATATCTATAATCGATTGGAATCTCAACAGACATGAATCACGATGCATTATATATATCTACCCAGTATCCACATACTGGTAATCTTAGCACATGTCTAGTTTAAAGTTGCATACAAGTGATTTCGAACTGTTAGAATGTATTTGAGATATACACCAAAATTAATCTGAACCTATTTTCACTAAAACATTTATTTTTCATTAAAAAGTATGAGAATTTATTTTATAAGAAGGTCTTAAACCCTCACCCATCCCTTCTAGTGACTGAAGGTTTTTATACAGAGGAAGCATACCCATTAGCTAAAATCACAGCAAGTTTGCTTCTTTATGAACAAAAGGAGAAAAGGAAAAGGGTAAGAAGCATACGGCGAGAAGAAGCGATTCTTTGGCAGAAAGGCGTTCCATTTCCTTGGCGTACGCAGCAGGAGCACCCTGAACGGTTTGTTGAACCATGGCTTTGCACACGCGGAGACATCTTGATTTTCGGGTGAGTGGTGAATATGAAGATGAAAGAGAAGAGGGTTTGGAAGAAGAAGAAGGGATGCAAGTGGCAATTGCAGAGATAGAGGCATGAGAAGCAGAAGCAGAAGCAGCCATTGCCATTGCCATTGTATGAATGAGTGAATGAATGGAAGGAAGTGGTTCAATTTTGTCATGACTCGTTGAAAAATTAAGAAACCAGAGCAGTGAGCTGGGGAGATTGTTATTTTTTATTTTTATTTTTACTTTTCACTTTTAATTTCACCTTCTTTTGTCCTAATCCTCACCTGACTTAGAAGCCAGTGTCGTTTTTATGTTCTCATAAGTTCAGTCATATGGATTAATATGTTTAGTTGAACTTAATTATATTTTTAATTTCCTTGAATTCTTAATCCATTTACTTTAAAGTATGTGTAGTTTTAATTTTTATATTTTTAAAATAAAAATTATTTTATTTAAAAATAAAATAAATTTAGAGTGTGTTTGATAACGCAAAATTTACAACTTATTATAAATTTATACAATTTTTTTTTATCAATAAGTTAGCAAATAAGTATTTAAAAAACAAAAAAAAATTATAACTTGTAAAAGTTAGTTTATTAAAACATATTCTAAATAATATTTAATTTATTAGAAACTAGCTTCTAAAAAGTTGCTTTTATCTCTAACTCTTTAAACAATTTATGCTTATACAAAATAGCATCAACATTACTTTTCAAAAAACAATAATAACATTAACATTTATTTTTAGTTATTTAACTTGTTTCATCTAGTTATACAGCTAATTATACTCAATGATTTTAATTTAATCAATAAGTTTTAAGTTAGTCTTACCAAATATAATATTTATATTTTTATTATTTTTTTACTTAAACCCTTGATTTAATATTTTTTATCTAAATATTTAGAAAATTATAATGAAATTAAATATAAAGAAATAAAAATTAGTAAATTTTGAATATTTCATAAAATGTGAAATTGAGATTTCAAGAAAAAGTTAATTATTTAATTTCAGGAAAAATATATGTAGGGTAAACTAATTAATAATTATAAAATGGTATATAAGAATATATTTAATTATTAGACTACAACTTTATATTTCGTAATTGTACATTCTTAAATTATTATAAATATATTTTAATTATATTTTTCCCCTAATATAATTTGTGTGATTTTAAATTTTTTTATTTTAAATTATGTAATTTTAGGCCTATATTTTTATAAATGTAACAATTTATTCCACCTGTTACATCTTCATCTAAAATTTAATAGAATATAAAATATCAATAACAGTGTATGCATTATTTAAGTTTAATTGCATTATAATTGTGTAGAGAGGTTGCATGTGTTACACGATATTCTATCTCCTTTTGTTTACTTCGATTGGAGTTTCAATTAGGTGCTCAATTACTTGTTGGCTCGTATTAAGCCCATTTGACAAAGTGTTAAATTATGGATCACAATATAAAGAATAAAACAGTTACATTTAAAATTAAAAATAGGGAACACACTTACACAATAACACAATTGAAAGTAAGGGGACTAAAACAGTGCAAATCACATATTTTAAAGACTTAAAATTCTTTTAAGGCATATAATTTTTCAGATTTTATTTTATTTAAAATTATTGATTTTCTTAAAAATTAGGATAATATTTTAAATTTTTTATTCTATATAAAAATTGTTATGAAACAAAATAAGATTATATAAATGAGTTTATATGATTATTTGAACAGTTTTATATTATAAAAAAAGGAAATTGGATAAATTCTTAAAATAATTTTTTAAGAATGAACTATTATTTTTCGAAGCAAAGGATGTTACAATATTCATTTATTGTTATTTATGAATTATCTTAAAAAATATGTTAAAATGTAATTAAGACTTATAATATTTTTAAATAATATTTCTATAAAAAATAAATTATTTTTTTATATTTAAAATATTTTAGATCTATAAAGAAAGGATTGCGGAAAAAATATTAGAAAAAAAATCCCATTATTTAGAAGCTAAAAAATATAAACACGCACTACTTAAAATGGATCAGGATCTTCTCAATTGTAAAGAAAAAAAAAATTAAGAGAGAGTACAATTTGGCCATTGATTATTTTAATCGAATAGCATTTAAAATGGATAATTTAGTAATTTCAGTTGTTAAAAAGGTTGATTTAATGTAAGGCTGAGGCAATGGGTGGGATTGGGTTTCAAAATTCCAAAATCAAAGAAATTGGAGATGCGGGGTATCGAACCCCGTACCTCTCGCATGCAAAGCGAGCGCTCTACCGTTTGAGCTACATCCCCTTGACATAAAGGGCTTCCTTAACACCCTATATCTTGTTTTAAAATATTTGATTTTTAAATGATAAATGATTATCAGTAATAAATTATAATTAAGAATCAGGGATAAAAAAAGACCATGGGCTTCTACGGCTTCTTAATTAGCATGCTGCAATATTTACTAAAAAACAAGTCAATTTTTACTTCTTTATTACAATTATGTGTTAAGTTTTTAGTAAATGATTTAGGATTATAAGTTCACTCCTTTTGAGTTGTGTGACTTACATTGTTTGATACTTTCATAATTTTAATGTTAGTCATTGCACGTTAAATTAAAGTCATTATTAATTTTTTATATAATATTTAATATTTTTACTTTTTTTTAATACAATTGGCTGTTTTTCAATTTTTTTAGATTTTAAGAGAAATTTTATTTTCAGAGTCATCTTTTCAATGAATTATTTTATTTTATTTTTTGAAAAAATTATAATATAAGATAATATTTATAGTATATAATTAGTAATTTATTTAATAAAAAGTTTAATGATATTTTAAGTTTGTATGAAAAAACTTCTTTTGACAAATTTTTTGGCGAGTGAGTGTATACTTTGCAAAAACAATTCTGTTGTATTTAAATAGATTGAAGACAATTGATATTTGAAATTGATATATACAAAGAGTGTTATCAAAGAGTTTTGTCCAATTTAAAGTATGTTATCTCTCAAATTTTAGCTTTCTTGTCTCACAATCACCACTGTTAAAATAGGTTTCTAAGACATTTTTGCTTTTTTTTTTTTTATTGTCTCAATCTCTGAAAACTTCTTTGCCACCAAGAGAAAAGCCTAAAAATTTAAAGGCATGTCTTTTTTATTTGATTTATGGAAAGTTTTGATGTTGTGAAAATGATACACAATGGCTCCAACCAACATGCAAGAATGAGAGAACAAAATACTATATAAATTACATGTTTAGCTTACATTTTTTTTTTACCTTCTTTATTGGTGGTTGGGTTTGCCTATTTAATGTGTGATATATTTATCTTTTATTTGAAGTATAAGATGCAAGTGTGTTGTTAATAATTGTAGTTACAGTGACAATACATTTGACTGAATTTAAGAGGTTCTACCAATCTCAAATTTTAGATAAAATGAAGATTGAGACGAAAAAATAATTAGTTGTGTGAAAAAAAATTATTAAAAAAACTTAAGAGATTGAAATTTATTTTGATGGAAGAAGGAGGGAAAGATAGATAAAAATACAACAGTGACTAATCATTTTCATTTTGAGATGTATCTTTTTTTTTTTTTTCTTGCCTTGATGATTTTTATTCATTGCATTCACAGTAGTAGTACTACTACTGTGACAGTACAAACAATAAAACAATTTAAAATATATGCTACAATGTGGGAGGAAGCTAAAAAGATTTTATTTTTATTCATTTTATTTATATTTAAAAAATGTTAAACTTAATTAATAATAAACAACTAATAAAAGTAATATTTTAGTAAAAAAAATAAGTATTTGCTGTACTTTAATACAATAAATATATATTTTTTTATAATTTTTGTTATTATTAATGTTTAAACTTATTCATTACTCATTAAGAGTGGAATTAACAAAATCATTTATATTTATACAATATTGTGATTTGTTTATTTATAGAACTTTTTAACCTGTTCATCTCTCTTAATGTGATATATTATATACGTCATTAAAAATTGCATGTTTAAGCGTAAGAGAATCAACATTGAAGCATGAGAAAGTGAGTTAAAGGCAAGATAAAAACAAAAATAAGAAAAAATTTAAGGTAGTTATTCTCTTACTTAGCTATATTAATTGGAAACAAAGTTTGCATTTCTAAATCCTAAAATACATTTGTGAAATTACGTTTGTTTAATGGATCACATGTTGTTCATAAAATTATTCTTGAGTTGAATGAGAAGATATATTATATACCTATTAATGTTTTTCTTGTGGGTTTTACTAATTTCAAAACATTGCTTCCGGAAATGTTGAAGAACTAACCAGGTATGTCCTTTGCTTTCTTACTCTAGCTTTGTTGTATAGCAACATTCTCTCCTTCCTTCAATGCATACTAAAGGGTCCAAGAAGACAATTAATTTGTATTTTGATATAAAATCAAATATAATTATTATTATTCCCATATTTTTCATGTGTTTAAAGGATATTTTTCTATTATTTTTAAATAATAATAATAATATGTACTTTTTTACATGTAGTTAATTTTCAGTTTTTATTTTTATCATGGTAAAAGAAAGTTTAGACTATCTTTTATGAAATTGAATTATAATCTCAATCAAAGAGACAAATACTTAAACTTGATATCAGTAAAAAATACATTTTTTATAAAACTATATTAGTATATAAATTATAAAGATAAATAATTATATTATGGAATTAAATTTTGGGACGTTTGTAAAATGTAATAAACTATAACATAATTTAATTGGTATGATTTGATTTGCTTTAGTTCAATTTTAATAGGAAGAATAAAAAATTAAGAAATTAATGAATATTAATATTTAAGTTACATAAATAAAAATTATGTATGACAAGTACATAATTTTAATATTAACGTAATTTTTATTTAAAATTTTTTTAGTTCAACTATTATGTCTTTTTTAATATTTCTAATTAAAAAATTTATCTTCAATTTACTAACTGATATTTTAAGTACTTGTCATACTTTTTATTTAAAATTTTAATTTATTCATAATAACTTTTTGCAGTGTATTGATCACAAATTTTTAAAAACTTATTATTTTAGTCAAAGATCTCTAAAAATTTAGTTTAGCATTTACAAATTTGTAAATTACTATATTATTTTTTTAAGGCTAATTTAGTTCTTAAAAAAGGCTTTTAAAAAATTTATATTATAATATCATA